TGCCCTCATGGAAGGAGCAGTGGGAAGAGTCAGACCTTAGCTCACTTGTTTAATCTAACCAGAGACAAGAGCAAGCAGCTCCGTGGCCAGGCAGCATGTGTGCAGCTCTCAGCTATTCCCTGTGCTGCTGCCTCTTGCCCAGCCAAAGAACCAAAACCACAGCAGATGAAAAGGCGAAGGATGCTGTGGCACGGAAACTCAAGAGATCATGGGAGAGAACAGGAGGTACCTGAATCACAAGGTCTTGGTGACTTGAGAAAGTGCTTGACTTTGCCTTTACGACAAAGGCATTCCCTGCAAATCAATAGGAAGTGAGATTTCACAAGCTCCATTGATTCTGTTACCAATAAAATACCTCCAGTATATATATTTTTAATAACTAATTTTACAAGAGAAGCCCCTATGAATCTTGCCACAGGATCAAACCAAAATTCACAGACAAAGTATATGGGGTGTTTTTACATCTTCAGCAGTATGTCCTCAGGTAATTTCTGCAAGACTCCAGAGAGTTTATGTACTTAAGCATTCACTCCTGATCGGGACCATTAACCTTACGATTTAAAGGCTGAGGGATATAGGATCATGAAACGCAACAGAGCACACTAAAATGCTGCAATTACTCTGTGGCTTCAGCCCCAGCACACGCACAAAAAAGCAATATCGATATCAAGATATAACACTAGCATACTTACTTAACATTACATTTTGGAGGCATTTTTTTAAAAAGCAAAAATGTCACTTGAAGGCAAATATAGGTTAAAAAAAAAAACCCTAATTATGCTTTACAATGAAATCATTATTCCTAAGTATTCCCATAACATTACCCAACTGCAGGACAGAAAACAATTTTTCAGGATATGACAGCTGTAGCTCCTGCAGCCTGAGGCCTGAACATACTCCCAGACACCAGACACACAAGTCGTGTTGGTTTGACAACATAGGAGCCTGCTGTGCAGAGCTATGAACCATACAGCCCACATACAAGTAAGTTTTCCGGAGAATCCCTATTTTTTGGAATCTGCCCCTAGATGTGAACTATCTGAAACTATATATTGTATAGACAATATATAATCAGTTTTATAGACAAATCTGTCATGGGGTGAAGAAGTATCTTGGTCTTCAACAGGTGTGTTTCTCACTACAAGGCAAAGGAGGTGGGAAGGAATCCAAACAGTTCCTCATAAGAAGGTGTACGGTCCTACCTTGGTTTAAAAAGTACTGCTAAACAACAAGGCAGGACTCCAATTCTGCAATGTGCTCTATAAGATGGACTCACACACTACATGGAAAGTCACCACGAACATAAAGCCATCTACATTTAGGTTTTTTATGTTTTCAGTTTGGGGTTTTTTATAAAGATCTTCAGATTACCTAGGAACACTTCATACGCTTTAGCTGATACAGTAACAAGTCACTTACAGAAGAATTCAACTTATAGTTGAGCTTACAGGAACATGTTCCTCTAAACCTGCTAACTGATCCCAAGCTCATCAAGGACATAAAACTTGGTAGTCAATTAACTCTTAGACATAACTCTTAAATGTTTTCCTTAACTTTAGCATGTACATTGCCTTAACACAACTGCCAAGACACAGGGTGTGCTCTACCAGACATTCCTTTCTAGCTTGTTCACTTAAAATTACAGAATCAGATTGGCA